AACGAAGTTACCTTACGTGCCCGACCACGAAAAAAGAAAAAGAAAGAGAGAGAGAGAGTAGAGAGAGTAGAGTGAGAGAGAGAGTGAGTGAGTGAGTGTGTGTGTGTGTGTGTGTGTGTGTGTGTGTGTGTGTGTGTGTGTGTGTGTGTGTGTGTGTGTGTGTGTGAGGTAGTAGCTCATACTGGTGCATAGAAAAAAGTAGCATTTTTGAATTAATAATGCAATTGCAATTTTGCCTTTAGAGCAAAGTGCATCCAGTTAACACCACAGTGTTAATGAATAAAATAAAGTTGGCTTTGACTGAAACTCTACATTCAGTTTAGACAAAAAGAAAACATTAAAGTCTACCTTCATCAACATCCCTAAAGACTCGGGGTACAGAAGAACATGCTTGTGTATTTCTTCTAATCGTAACAGCTGTGACCTTGAACTTGATGCTCTCAACAAGGATTTCACCAAAAACTTGCTTCGACTCTCCATCGCTAGCTGTGGAATATATGATGGGAATATTTCACTAACAATTATCAATAATTATAAACTAATACTTTAGTGCCAATGGGCACTGCATATATAACAAATTCCAGAAGATGACAAAATGACATTATATGTAATTCAGCTATTATTCAATAAATGTGGCTATATTTGCTATATTGACACTAGCCGTAACATGATTTTGATGCAACATTTACACCAGCTGCAGCATTATCTTAATGTATCAACTTACACCAGGTGAACATGATTTCAATGGCTTAAGTTACAACAGATGAAGCATGATTTTAAAACTAAATTACACCAGCTATAACATGATTTCAATGGCTTAAATTACACCAGCCATAACATGATTTCAGTGGCTTATTTACATCACCTGTAGCATTATTTTAATAGCTCAATTTACAACACCTATAGCATGATTAGAATTGATTCATTTGCACTATCTGTAACATGATTTCAACAGCTATATTCAAAACATTACCACAATGTATGATCAAACACATATTTCTGGACTTAGTATTTTTAAGTTCTAAATCACAATCAGATACTTCCATAGTAATAGCTATCATTCCTTAGTTTATTATCATATAACTACCAAAATATATTCTGAATTTCATATTTCAAAAATAGCAAAACGTGTTAACACAGTAGTAGTGTTTAATAGTACACTTCTTTAATACACTATCCATACACACAAAAAAGATGTAAACATAGACATTAAAATTTCATAACGACCAAGGAAAATATAACCACCGGGACAAAATTAAATGTATATTAACTAAACGAGAATATTTGTGGGTAACTGAAATTAAAACAAATTACTAAACACTTAGCCAAGACTCTTTTAACCCTAGTACTAACAGAAATAAACATAAACTTCAGCAGTTTTACTCATGAATTTTATAGCTGGGCCATATTTTCTTTTAGAGAAGGAATTGTTTTATAAAACTACTTAGAGCCACACATCTGTGCCACTTACTTGACAATAAGTATACATTAAAAGGTTAAGCTTGGACTAAGAAAAATGTTGAAACTTGTAATAATCCTACTGTATCAGTCATTTACGGTATAATTGTCTGGAAAAACATGTTTGATGTAATACTCCACATGTTCAATATAATATTCTATTTTACATTTAATATTATTTTCTTTGTTTCTTCTCCCCTTCACATCAAAACACTTTTCCAAACGTAATAATTTAACGTATCCTGTTGTTTATTATTGCCCAAATGGAGAAAATGAGCCAAAGGATGGCATACAGCAAGAAGCTCCAGGATGTTGATATGATAAGACCTATTGGCCACAGACCAATACCCAGAAGCTTCCTGTTGATCTGCCCATGCCCCCCATTTCTCAAGGGATGCTTTAGTAAATATGTATAAACCTGGACACGAGTTTCTTGTCCAACCACAAGGGTAGGAAGAAGGGTAATAAGAGCCATCGTGAAGAGCCCACTGAAGAGCCTGCATATAAGCCCAACCTAAGGGGATAAAGGCTGCCATGGAAGACCATATCCTTAAAGGTAATAAAACTTCACAAGCTGTAATAGAGGGAGTAGTAAGAACATGGAGAACTGAAAACTCCATTGAATGAAGTTGAAGAGGGAAAGGTTGGGCCTGACTGAGATGGGTGTTGAAAAAAACACCCAAATGGACAAGATATTAGGTAGATCACAGGAATGACTTCTCAAACTTTATTAACCAGCCCATTCGAGCCACCTCCAGGAGCAGCTAATGAGTGTGATTGGCATAATAATGAAAGTGCAAACCGAGAGCATGTAAGTGACGAGCGAATGCTCTGACCACCCAACCAAAAACATATGGGGCCGAAGCAAGCATGAATGGCAATGCATGAAACTGTTAAACCACCCCGTGATGAACAAACCAAATATAGGGTCGCGACTGACAAGATATTTGGATATGCAAATAAACATTCACAACATCCATCTTGGTCATCCATAAATCTGGAGAAAAGCCCACCTGAGAGTGAGAAGGAACTCTATGGTGAAATGGGGCAGACTAAGAAATTTATTGAGGCTGGAAAAAGCTATTACAGGCCACTAGTCTTCAGTTTTCTTGAGGACAAAAACAGTCTGGAATAAAAGTCTGGAGAATGATGATGAACATGTTCGATGGCCTGTTGAGACAGGTCTTGTACTGCCTCTGACAGATGCTAGATGGCGGTAGGATCCCGAGGCATGGGGAAGGAAACAGGTCCCTGAGAGAAAGGATGGAGAAAAGAAATTGTAAGAGAAGTCCCTCTGATAAAACCCAAAGAATCCATGGATCTGTGGTGAAAGATCGCCAACAAGGAACAAATTCATACAATCGAGCTCCCACTGGGTAGCCATTGGTACTGTTAGCAACATGCCCAACTACGTTGAATAATACAATCAAATGAGAAACCCCTGGAAGGAGTAACAGGTAAAGACTGAGAAGGACTAGGACAGGAAACAGGAATAAAAGCTTGTCTTGGCTCAGAATGTGACAAACGTGCTACCAAAGAGAAAAGAGTAGTGTTGATGCATAGACTCCATACGTAATTACAAAGTCTCAGGTACATGATTGAAAACATACCACCTAAGAAAAGGGGCCATATGTCAATTCCTAAGATAAGGGGGTGGCAAACGAACCTTGGAAAAGGCTGCATCTTGACCTAGAAGATCCCAACAACAAAGAAACAATATGTGTAAAGCAAGAGCCAAAGACAACAATCTAGCCAACATGGAGGTAATAAGGGAGAGGCTTTCCCTCAAAAAACCCTCAGGATCTCAGCAGAATGTTCAGAAAGGAGATGTATAGTAGAAGAATACTGTAGAAGGGAAGTAAGGGTAAGATGAAGGCATGAAAACTGGGCATGGGTTAAATGAATGGGAAAATCAGGGACTCACTCCCCCACACAGGTAAAAATTGACTCCAACTGTTGAGAATCGAGAAATGGACAGTCAGTATGATAGTAAACTAATACAAACTGATCTGTAGCCCATGAAGGGTGAGACATGCTGGCACCCTCAACCAATTGTGAAACAAGTTGCTCAGCACGAACCCTAATATCGAGGGAGGGTGGGAAAACTAAATGTGATACTTGAAGTGGTAACATGAACCTCAGAATTTATTGTAGAAATATATATAACAAATGTATTTGATGTCAAAAATGCGAGTGTGAGAAAAAAAAAGAAGGGAAATGAAGTTAAAGTTAAAGACTTCTTCACTGTAAAGGAAAAAAATTAATGAAGAAATCCCACTTTGGAAATTAAACGATTAAAGTCATGAATGCACTAGCACACGAAGAGCACCAAAAAAAAATATCTGAACACGAGTGCTGCCAAACAAGAAGTGATGATTCAGTAGAATAGAATAGAGGGAGTAACATGCGTCATGAGAGTATGTTGCACTCTTATTGGTGGAGGGTTGCTGCATGATGATTTGCATGAGTGATGCATTGAAATCAGTCAGTTCCAACTGTGGGGAGATAAAAGGCTTGTGGCATGTATAAAAACTGTTTTGCATATAGAGGGCAACACTGAAGGAGAATAGATATTTATGTGAGTGGAAGTAATGTACTGTATCAGAATATAATATTTCAATGTATCCTGTTGTTTATTGTTGTTTTGTTTGTTTTTCCTCATATATATATATATATATATATACACATCAACACATCTTCCCATAAGTGATATTTCAGTGTATCCCATTATTTATTGTATTATTCCATTTGTTTCTTTTCATCTGTAACTCCAAAAATTTGTCATCTTTTAATATATTCAACCTGTAACTTATCCTTCACTCCCACCAAACTTTCCCATGTAAAGCAGAATCAATCATACAATTCCTGTTTCTTAATATTCTTGTCTTCCCCATCACACATCATCATATTTTAATGTATCCTGTACTTATTTTTTATTTGTTCTGTATAGATCTTCTTATTGATTTTTTTTTTCTTTTCACACATTATCTCAGATTTTTAACATAACCTGCAAGTTTGTTTATTACATTATTTTCTTAGGAAGAGTACATTAATAAAAAAAATTTCTTTTTTTTTGCTAATAATTTGTTATCACTTCCTTTAGAAATTTCTATAACTAGTTTTACTCCTGCTCTATTGCAAAGCTATTCATTTGTTTCATAATCAAAACATTCTACAAGTACTTTACCTTTGAAATAAGCATTCTTGAAGTCTTTACTTTTTTGGAGTTTACAATACTTTGTTTTGAAGGTTCATCATAACTGACATCTTCTAACACCCACTCAGTAAGAGCTTTCTCAAGCTTGTTATCCTGTGAAGCCTCTGATTCCTTGTTTGTCTCGCTTGACAATGTCTTAGTCGATGGTCTAACTAAAAATGTTAACAAGCTCCATGGTTTTAGTTTTTTAAAATCTACATGCCTTAAGTTGTTAGTGAAGAAGTAAGACCAACTCTGATCGTCACTAGAACTTGCTGGCAATAATGTGACCCTTGATGACCTTGAAAAGGACAAACTTTTTAAAACTCTGGATACTATGTCCTTCAGGAAAGTAATGTTCCGCACATTCGATGGAGGTTGAGCCATCTGAATAAAATACATAAACTGTGTTAGTCCTCAGAAATCCACTGAAATATAAAACATATTAAAGAAAACTTAATTTCCTGTATTAAATTATAATCATTTCTATTAATCTTACAATTCTACCTATAAAGTTTCAAAATTAAAAATAACAATTAAATTCATCAAATGATATTTAAAAATATTTTCATGAAAAAGTTGCACAGAAAATATTTTGACAAGCTCACTCACTTTCAGATGCGTAAAAAGTGGCACAGAAGATATTTCAACAGGTTAACATATTGTTACAACAGCGGAAGTCATGTGATGTTGCTGACGCATGTGTGACTGAGTTTCTTGAATTATCGGGGAAGTCCGTGAATTTTGGAAATGCGTCTTCGTTAGTATATAAGACTGGCAGAGAAAAGCCAGGGAATGATAAAGTGTACAGAAGTTACGATAAGTTTTGTGTAATTTATGATTCAGTTAGTTTCGAGCTAGTGAGCCATAAAGTGTGTGTTTTGCACTCCTAGAGAGCAAAGTTATCAAGGTTGTGAATTGCTGTGATTTATAAAAGTTGTTAAGTTGAAGGTGACGAGAAATGTACTGACTGTGGAATTACTGTGTACTAAAAGTTGTATCGAGAAAGAATAAACTGGCTTAATCAACAAAGGACTCGCTGAAGTTCCTCTGAAAGAATTTCTACCGAAAATTAACAAACAAGAAGATACGTAACAAATTGGTGTCAGAGAGTGGGATGGAAAAGAAGAAAAAAAGAAGTGGCAAATCAAACTATGACTTAGCAGATTTGATGGCAGCAATACAAGAACAGCAAAAGAAACAACAAGAATGAGAAAATAAACAAGAAGAAAGACTAAAGCAATGGTTGGAGGAGAAAGAAAAGAAACAAGAAGAGAAACTACAGCAGTGGTTGAAAGAGAAAGAAAAAACAAGAAGAGAAGCTACAGCAGTGTTTGGAGGAGAAAGAAAAACAAGAAGAAAGACTAAAGCAGTGGTTGGAGTTGAAAGAAAATAAACAAAAAGAGAGACTACAGCAGTGGCAAAAAAACCAGCACCAGTGGCAACTGGAACAAGATAAGAAACAGGAAGAAAGTCTCCAACAGTTGAGAGAAAGCCAGCACACACAAATAGAAAAGATTAGTAAATTTCAAAGTGAATTAAATACATAAATGGACAATATTCTGTCTTTTATACAGGGAAGATATATTAACCATGGACCTAATCAGCCCCAGACAACAGGAAGCCCATTTCAAACCCTGCAGCTAAACCCTAATGCAGACATCTTCATTTCTGCCAGAAGTCACATTCCAGACATGAGTGTCAGCAAGAGGGGTGATCTAGTACAAAGGAAGCCACAGCAATGCGATGGGAAGGCACCATGGGAAGCATATAGAGCACCATTTGAGCTATTGGCAGAAATGAATGGATGGACAGAGGAGAAGAAAGCAGTGTACCTGGCAACGAGCCTGAAGGGACAACCACTGAAAATACTTGGACAGTTGGCAGCAGACGACAGGCACAACTATAGAGCACTGGTAGCTGCTCTTGAGCTCAGGTATGGAACTCAAAATCAGTCCAAAGTCTGCAGGGCTACGTTTAGGACGAGAGTCCGTGCTAAAGGGGAGAGCCTGCAAGAGCTGGCACAGGATTTAGAAAGTATAGTACATAAGGCCTACCCAACTGCACCACCCAATGTCCTCAAGCTCTTGCTGAGGGATCAGTTTGTAGACACCTTGGACAGTCCACAACTGAAGATACAAGTGAAGCAAGCACACCCCTCTACTATGCAGGATGCAATGGCCAAAGCTCTTGATTTCGAATCCTATGTTAACTCCAGCACAGAGGTACCGAGGTTGGTACAGTCATCAGAATTCAAGGCCAGAAAAGGGAATCTTTCAGAGAGGTTTCAGGGGCTTTGCTGGCACTGTAACAAACCTGGGCACAAAAGAGCTCAATGCTGGCAACTTCAACACAGGAAAGATGCCAGAGCAGGAAAGGCTGCTACCCAGAAAGGTTGTTGGAACTGTGGAGAGCAAGGACATATAAAGAGCCAGTGTAAGAAAAATACTACCAATAAGTCATCTTCGAGAAACCAGTAGTGGTTGGTGTTGAGGGACGCCTACCACCCCTGTTGTGAAAGTCCCAACAGCTAAGTGTCTACGTGACAGGAAAGTTGGATGGCCAAAAAGTGCAACTTTCTCATAGATTCTGTATCTCAGGAAACCCTTGTGAGTATCAAGATGCTAGATCACAAAGGGTACCAGAAGCCATACAGAAGCTCTATGGTATG